CACTTGTAACGCCCCGACCGTCCCTACCAGTGGGCCCCACATCCTCTCTCGGACCCATGGGCCCACCCCTTTCCGACGGCCGGTCCGGTACGTCCGGGAGGCTTTAGAGACATGTTTACCGACCCTATAAATCACCACATGATCTTTCCCCGTGTTTTGTCCTCACGGAAGGTCACCCATCCTGAAACTACTCCAGCCCAAACACGTTTAACTATGGAGTTCTCTCAGGACGGTTGACCGAAAGATAAGTGCACTTTGGTGACATAGCTGGCCAAATCAATTCTTTTAAACTTCTCTGCATGCACCACCATATTCCTAAAATTTTTATTTCACTTTTAGGCTTTTTCCATATTTTTGTTTATTGTATAAAATTAAACAATTAATCTAAACTCTTTTTCTATAAAGCTCTGATGCACTTTTACGACTTAGACACAAAGGATTTGATTTCCCTAGAACAAATGCTTTACGTGCAATGAGAAGATACGATATGATATATTGAAGACATTTGTAACGCCCCGACCGTCTCTACCAGTGGAACCCACATCCTTTCTCGGGCCCATGGGCCCACTCCTGTCCGGCGGCCGGTCCGCTACGTCCGGGAGGCTTTAGAGACTTGTTTACCGTCCCTACAAATCACCACATGATCTTTCCCCGTATTTTGTCTTCACTCACACTACTCCGACAATCACTTTCCGGAAGGTCACCCATCCTGAAACTACTCCAGCCCAAACACGCTTAACTGTGGAGTTCTCTCAGGACGGTTGACCGAAAAGATAAGTGCACTTTGGTGACATAGGTGGCCAAATCAATTGTTTTAAACCTCTCTGCATGCACCATATTCCTGAAATCGGAGTGTTACAATTCACCCCCACTAACAGATCGCAACGTCCTTGTTGCGCACCAAGACCGTCACCCCCTACCGTGTGAGTCCTCTTGACTCCACACTCGTCTGGGTTCGGCTCTGATACCACTTGTAACGCCCCGACCGTCCCTACCAGTGGGCCCCACATCCTCTCTCGGACCCATGGGCCCACCCCTTTCCGATGGCCGGTCCGCGCGTTACGTCTGGGAGGCTTTAGAGACTTGTTTACCGACCATATAAATCACCACATGATCTTTCCCCGTGTTTTGTCCTCACGGAAGGTCACCCATCCTGAAACTACTCCAGCCCAAACACGTTTAACTGTGGAGTTCTCTCAGGACGGTTGACCGAAAAGATAAGTGCACTTTGGTGACATAGCTGGCCAAATCAATTCTTTTAAACCTTTCTGCATGCACCACCATATTCCTGAAATCGGGGTGTTACAACAATCTCCCCCCCAAACATCACTTCTCAACGTAATATGTGTCATTTAAAAAAACAAAATCTTATGCTTCGTGGTAGAGAAAAGAAAAGAATTTTCTCTCCAATGTTTTAAAAATGTCAAGATTATATGCTATAAATTGTGTTTCTTTTTTAACGAAGAGAAGAAAACTGTATTTTAATTATAAAAAAGCACATTGTATTTTACTATCATATATTAAGAAAACAAAACTATGTTGTTAACTTTGTGATGGTTTTGGTGTATTTTTATATCATGGTAAATCATGATTAGTAGTATTTTTCTATGCATAAAAAATCTCTGTAAACAAAATTAATTTGAGATCTTTTATTTGGGTTCGAGTGTCTTAAGGAGAAATGTGTGAAGGTGGAGTAAAATGATTACATCTATTATACTTTACCAAAATTTAGAGTAACAATTTGTTTACTAATTTATTTGGATATATTTCCATCATTAAAATTTCATCAAACACATTTTTGTTTGGAATTGAATGTCAAAATAAACAAATGTATGATGATGTCCAATAAAATCATTTCTTGATTACCTTCATTTTTATTTAGTTTAATTCCATATTTGACTTGCTTTCATGTAAGTTCTATTCAAAAATTAACAATAATATTTGTTTTGTAATTTTGAATCCAAATTTCAAATCAAATTCTTATTTTTCAAAGATAATTTTGTTTAGGATTTTTTGTTTATTTAATACAAATTTTTAAGGTTTATCATCCAAAAGACCATATAAATAAGAACCCTTTTAAAATATTTTTAAATTGATCATAAACCATTTGTCGAAAAAGATTTCTAAAGGTTTTGAAATTTTTTTAAGGAAAATTATATTTGGTATTTTGTTATAATTCCCAAAGAAATAGTATTTTGGAAACAATATAAATATATTACTGATAGATTTTTTGGTCTAAGTATTTTAGGACTTTTGAACATAAGTGATTTATTATTCTTTTTGACGTAATGTTTTTAAAAACTTACTATGTGAAACGAAGTGTTAATTAGGTTTAATTAATTATAATATGTTGTAATGGCTTTGTGAAATATTTATAGATTAGAATTCGTTTCTACATTTTTTTGTTGAGCATGTTTAAGTTTTATTGATTTTTTAAATTAACTTAGTTCCCATTAATTTATTCATGAAGATTCATGTTTTTCTCCTCATTTTTTGTTTTCTTATTAGTTTTACATTAGGTTTTTAAGAATAAAAATGGTAGGAGATGTTTGATAATTATGAATTATATGTTTTTGATAACATGAATGTCGAGCTACATATAATTTCTATGTTTATTTTAAATATACGATGTCAAGTGATATCTAAAACCGTTTGAATTGATTGGGAAATATGGAATATGAAGAACTGTAAATTTGGTGTAGTAAAAATATAAGAATTTATGTGTTCGTGTACCTATTATAAGAGACAAACAAAAAAGGTTCATGATATTTGTGTCATAATGGTCCCAAATCTTGATGAACTTTATGAGACCAAAAATTATATATCATATTTTCAAATATTGTTGAAACATAAAATTCATAAGGATTTATGACCATTTTCATCTTCAATCCACCTTCATTTTCATTGCCCGGCTGCCGTGGTCTTTATCTTCTTCATCGTATTCATCGTCAATTCGCCGTCGTCATTAGCCACCGTCGAAGATTGTAATTTTTCGTTTTGATTTTAGGGTTTCCGACTTCTCGTGAGTGGATGAAGAAGACTTTGGATTTCTCTAAGTGCAAATTTGTAATGTTATCGTACGAAAGCAATTTTTAGAAAAGATTTTGAATACAATATAGACAAGAAAGATATTTTTTTTTCTCTATTGCAACACTTTCATTTATATGTTGTTCTTAGTGAATATGTACAAATACTCCCTCCGTTTCATAAAGAGTGTCGTTTTAAAGTTTTATTTTTGTTTCATAAAGAGGGAGTAATATATTAGGTTAATGAATCTAAAATAGTATAATATTTTAGAAAAATATTTTAGTTATACTGTTTGGATTTTTTCTTTAATTTAATAGCTTTGATATGAAATATCAAAATCAATTTTTTTTTTATCTCTTTTTTTGTTTATATCAATAGCAAAGATTCTCTGAATTTACAAATCCCTAATTGGTTTACCTACCTATTATACCAAAAAAATAATTAAACATATTGGTAATTTCTTTATCTAATACTCCCTCTATTTTTAATTACATATATTACTAGATTTTTCACACGTATTTAGAAAGCATATTAAAAAATTGAAAACTGGACTATATACAAAGCCCTAAAACAACTAAATCAATCTAGTTATGAGGTGAGCAACGTATGTTTCATGCGTTATAATGTTCTTAATTTTAAACCAGGTTCGAAGTAGAACTATATAAACCTCATTTTAACTTTGATTGGATACTAGCAAAATTTAAAAGTTTTATTGCATAATATAGTACTACTTAAGCCCGACTAGTTCACAAGGCAACCAAAGCATCTGCTTTAGACAACCAAATATCAGACAAATTTTAGGGCCACATGTTCAATCGTTTTGTTTTAGTTAGTTGGTTATACACTTTATTAATGAGTCACATTTGTTGGATTCGATCACTGTAGATCACTTTCATTTTAGGGAAAATGTTTGGAGTGGGAGAGAATTGTTTTTAATTCATTTATTAATTTTTGGTTTAATTCCTTCTTTTTTTTAACAACAAATCTCTAAACATTTGATTTAACTTGGCTACTAAGTATTATATGACATTCTTAACTTTTTCATATTGTTTTACATTGTTAAAGTATCCAATAACTTTCACTAATGTTTTTTTGAGAAATGGTCTCCTATAGCCCTAAATGAAGTTTTTGTGACAAAAATAGTATCCCCAAGTTTATTTGATAAAAATAGCACTCATTTACCTTGTTTTTGATTTTTAAAAAATTAATTAAATTAATTAAGATAATAAACAGAGAATAGCACCGAAATTAAACACACCGACAGAGAGTTTACAATTGCGCTTTCCGGTGAAGCTTCCGATCTCGGATTTTCAATTCCGGTGAAGATTATGATCTCCAATATTCATTCCCAATGAAGCTTCCGATCTCATAGCTTCAATCAGTGTTGAATGTGGAATCTGAGTGTAGCTTTAAGAATCATGATGGTCTATTGGTTTGTGAGTGTAGCTCTAGATTCATGAGTGTAGCTCTCGATTTTGTTGGTGTGGCATAAGAGGTTAATCGAGAAACATCAACCTCTTATGCCACTCTTATGTTTTCTTTTTATTATCGATTTTCTTTTAATTCGTATAAGTGAGTAAATGACCATAAAACCAGACAAAAATTAGAAAACTACGACCCAACCTACAAAACCCGAACCCAGCCCATGACAAAATAACCCGGCCCATAAAATTTCCCCAATTTTACCCTAATTCTGAAAATCTCTAAGTGTAATTTCTCTCAAAACTGTAAAAAACCAAAGAGTCGTCTCCGTCGAGTTCTCTCCGTCGCTTATTCGCTTCTTTTCCGTTTTCGTTGTCCGTCTCCGGCGTATCGTCGTCTCTGCCGTTTTCTTCTAGCCTCGGAAATTCGGCCGTCGTCTGCGTGTACTCCGTCATTCGTCTCCTCCGTCTCTTCCGCGGTGGTTTGTCTTTTCGTCTCCTCCGCCTCCGTTCAGCGTGTCTTCGTCTCCTCTTTATATGGCTCGCGTGAGAATGAAAGGTGGAGATAGGGTATATGAATCAACAGAAGGGTGTCGAGAAGGGGCTTCAACTCCGGATCCAATAGAAGCTTCGACGGATGCCGCAGTTCCAAGAAAAGCTCTGACGGATGCCGTTTCTCCAACAGAAGCTCCAATGGATGCCGCTGTTGTTCCAACAGGAGAACCGACGGATGCCGCTGTAATCGTTCAGACAGTGGAATCCGTAGAAGCAACCATCGAATTAGAAGTTTCTTCGGTTCCGGAATTGTCTGATAAAGAAGAGAAAGAAGAAGCCAGTGAGTCAAAGGAAGATGAAGTCGGTGAGCATGATAAAGAAGGTGAGTCTGATAAAGAAGAAGAAGTGCGTGAGTCTGATAAAGAAGAAGAAGTCTGTGAGTTGTCAATTGATGGTCAGGGTTGTGATAACGAGGAAGAAGAGAGAGTTGGTGATGCTGAGGGTAGAAAAAGGAGTGGTGATAATGAGGAGGAAGATGTTGCTGGTGTTGTTAAGGTAAGTAACAGTTTGTATTTGTTGTATATGGTGTTAAAGGTAAGCAACAGACATAGTTGTACTCAGTTGTATGTGTTTGAATATGCAGAATATAGTTGATGATATTGCTGCTGAGGAAGAGGAAGAGGAGAGGGTTAATGATGTTGCAGCTGATACAAATGAGGAATCCCAACCACTGCCGCCAGAGAGCATGTACTTTAGTCCAACTGAGTACAACAAGGTATGTAAGGTAGGAAGTAGGTGTAAAGTTGGCCAAACAGTGGCCATGATAGAGAAATTTGATGAGGAAGTTAGTTGGTTTAGGAATCATGCTCAGTTTAAGCATATATTCCACATGCCTAAGGAACCATATCAAATGATTCAAGGCATGTGGATGCTTATGCTTCGCACTGCTTGCACGGATATGGAGAATGAGTGTTGGTTTGTTGTGAATGGAGTGCCTATAAGGTACTCCTTGAAAGAGCATGCTTTGTTGACCGGGTTGGACTGCCATGAGTACCCAAAGAATCATGATAAGAAGGGTAGTTTGAGGTTTGTCAGAAGGATGTTTGGGAGGACAGACCTAATAAAAATCAAAGATGTAGAAAAGAAGTTGGCAGCTATAAAGAGTGAGAAGTGTTTGGATAGGAAGAAGTTGATTATTTTGTTGTTTTTATGTGCGGTTGTAAAGGCTGATTCTAAGGGTGATGGGAACATAGAGCAATTCTTGTTAAGGATTGTTGATGATGTTCATGCTTGTGAGACCTTCCCGTGGGGAAGGTATTCTTTTGAGCAATGTATGACAGGGATCCGGAGAATGATGAAAAACATGAAAGGTGAGGTGAAACCAAAAGCACAGAGCAGCTTTTTTGGATTCATCACTCCTCTTGAGGTAAAAACTTTTGAATATTGTAATGAGTTAGAGTGTTTAAGTTATAGTAGTAAAACTGTGTTATTGTGAATGTGTAGATTTTTGCATTTGAGTGCATACCACAGCTTGGAAGGCGATTCAGAGAAGTTGTTCCCGCAGCTAATGACTATCCAAGAATGTGCAAATCTAAATTCACAGACAGTTGCATGAAGGGCTTTACCTTGGATGAAATAAACCAAGCCCTTGGTGAAATTAAGGTTAGCTTTTGGTGCCTTTACTTCTCTTAGTATGCATATGTATTTAGATTGATGCTATGTGTATTTGACAGGATATCTCAAGCATCTTGGAACCTGATCTGGATGAGAAAGAGATGTTGTCTGGCCTCGTTGAGAAATATGTTGATGAAGGGATGGGATTTATTGATCCAGTTGTTGATAGTTGGAGAGAGCAGCTGATCACAAAGAAGAAGAAAATCTGGTGGAAAAGTCTATACCAGATGGACTTGCAGGCTCGGGGTTTTGGTGATGTTGTCCCTGAAGTGGTTGAGAGGCTTGGTGATGTTAAAGAAAGAGATGGTGAAGTCCCTGAGAGGCTTGGTGATATCCTCTCATTACAGTCAGCTGTGGACAAAGGATTTGCGAAGATCATGGAGAAGTTTGCTGAGATGGACAGCAAAGTGAGTATGCTGGATGGGAGAGTGAAAGAATTAGAGGGTTATGTGGCAATCCAGCTAGAGAAAGAGCGGTACAATGAGTATCATCCAGGGACTTCAAGTGATTTTGTGCCAACCTATTGTACACCAACTGCTAATCAACCAATAGTGAGTCCGACAAAGGCTTTGGTCCTTCACAGTGGTTTCACAGACCCTAAGCCAATCCAGATTCAAGAATTGAGTGAGTTCACATTTTTGTAGTTTTTATTGAAACATACATGTTCTAACATTTGAGTTGTGTAGGTGATGAAGGTGATCAGGAGCAGCTGGCTAGGAAAGAGAAGGAGAACAAGAAGAAGAAGAGACAGCGTGGCCCTACAATCCAGACCGGGCAAAAGAGACAAAGGAAGCCTTCCAGGTTTAAGGCTGAAGAGTTTACAGCAGAGGGGAAGGGGAAGGGGAAGAAGAGGCAGAAGAAATAGGTGATCTTTATGATGGGTTGTTTTTGTGTAGGACAAAACTTATCTTTTTTGAGTATTTTGCGGTTATCTTTTATTAGGATTAAAGAGCATTGTATTATCTTTTGGTTGTGTTGTGGTTTAGGTGCATTTTATGTATTTGGGGTTTAGGATGAATCAGACATTTTAAAAATTATGCATCTGGTCCAACTACTAACAAACGTGGGACAACTATTAACACAAGTTGGACAACAGGTACAACTACTAGTAATCCTCGGACAACTATGTGATAAACCAAGGGCAACTACTATTAAAATAAATTTTAAATTTTAGTTGGACCAGTTGATCCAGGGACAACTACTAATAATTCAGGGACAACTATATTATAAACCTGAGAAAACTACTATTTCAAATAAATTTTAAATTTTAGTTGGACCAGTTGATCCAGGGACAACTACTAGTAATCATGGGACAACTATGTGATAAACCAAGGATAACTACTATTCAAATAAATTTTAAATTTTAGTTGGACCAGTTGATCCGGGGACAACTACTAATAATTCAGGGACAACTATATTATAAACCTGGGACAACTACTATTAAAAATACTTAGTAAATACATATAATTCAGAGTTGTACCGGTTGAACCAAGTACAACTAGCATTACTGCAGGTACATCTACTAATAAGACTTCATGAAAACACAAATCCATATCTAAAATACAAATTCAAATATTACAAAGACTAGGTGGTAATCATACAATATTACCAACTTGAAAGTAACCCCTTAAGCCTCGCAATCTCGACTTCTTTTGTGGCTAACCTCGCTTTAAGGGCATCAATTTCTTCACGCATAAAACGAAGAGTTTCCCGGATCGACTCCAAAGCAGGTGGAAATCCACCCCTCGCAACCTCAAGAGAGGTTAAAACGTCAAATCGTAGGTTTATCTTGGACAGCTCCTCCGTAACCGCACAATCCCACCACTAAACTAGGTGATCTCGATTAACCTTATATTCGTCTCCATCCTAGGAAGAATATAGAAAGTTCAAAACCAGCAAGTTGTACTTAGTTGTTCTAGAATTGCAACTAAACCATACAGTAGCAATGGGCATCTGTATACGCGCTCTCCTTGTCGCTGTCCTGTTATACACCGCTCAAGCTTGACCATTAAACCGCAAAAACACCTCTTGGGAACACCATAATTGGCGTCCGCATTTCGGCATCCACTGTTGATGCTTTCTACGATGTGGAGGGTTGGGAGTAACTATAAGGCATATCTACGGAAAAGAAGATGAAGCTCGGTAAGTAGATCTGGCTGACCATTCAATCAAACATAAATCAATTAAATCTTACAATTTTTTGGATAGATCTGAAAATCTTACAAATCTCATATACCCTAATTACCAGAATTGCAGATCTACTAAATCGAAGTAGTCTAAGAGAATTGTCATACCTTATAACGGCGAGAGAATGAAGAAAAAGAATAGATCTGAAAACCCTAATTTTTGGGTTTCTCGTTTTCAATGGCAGAAGAAGAAGAGAGAAGACAAAGAAGATAGAAAAGAAGAGAGAAGCGAGATGTGAGAGAATTACCCAGATTTTGCAAAATTTGAAGAAATCTGAAAACCCTAATTTTTTTGGGTTTCTCGTGAAGAAGAAGAGAGAAGAAGAAGAGAGAAAAGTTTAAGAAGAAGAGATAAAGAAGAATCGAGATGTGAGAGAGAGAGAGTAGTCAAAGTAGGTGGGATTTCAAATAAATCAGATTCGAATTAAAGTAGGTGGGCCCGGTTTGAGTCAAAAACTAGTGTGAACACATTTATGTGGGACTTCCGACAATTAGATTTTCTACATAGTTGTCTTTAGATGTTCAGTTGTACTAATTTTCTCACGGTTGAACTATTTCAAATTTTGTAATTTTATAGTTGAACCTTAAAAATACCATAGTTACCTAGTTGTTCACATCAATTTCCACATTATATTGGTGTTTAAGACGTTTTCATAGAATAATTTGTCAGAAAACATAGTTTCCATACTTATTCCATCTTTATAGATGATCTTGAATTAATTGTTGCTTGTTACCTAAAGAGTGATTTGTGTAATTTTTGTTTTTGCTGACATTAATTATTGATAATGTTACATATCATATATTAAAATAATAGAATATACTTTCAGAGTTTAAAAATGTTTTAAATCACTTATTATGGGTTAATTTATGTAATTTTGTATTTTTTGTAGTTTTAGTTGTTTTCAGTTGTATCGGTTGAACCCAAAAACCATTCTTCATAATATTGCAAAGAAATAAAATAGTTTATATTACAAACTAGTCTTACAAATAAAAATACAAGTACAAAGTTATTTAAGTTGTTCTGGTTGAACTCAAATGGTTACATAGTTGTTCCAGTTGAACCAAAATGGTCCAGTTGTTCCAGTTGAACCGTATTGGTAAAACGGTTGTACCGGTTGAACCAGGGAATTAATCAAGATGCTTCTGGATCCTCGGGCTGCAGCCATCTCTCCAAGTTAATTCCTGGAACAGCTTTGTTACTCTTTCTCCATTTTTCTCCAACAGATAGAAACCGTTTATCTTGATTTCGAGTGTATTCCGGCGGCTCAGCCTCCAACTCTTTAACTGACTCGGGAATATTCCATTCTAACTCATGTGGCACTACAAACAACGTCCTGTAATATGCCAATGCCCAAGTATCAATCAAATAAAAGACGGAGCAAAGTCCATATATGCTTACATCTGCATTTCTCCCTTCCTTGCGGGCTAGGAACCTTGCTTCGGCAATGGCATGGACACACGGGTACTTGTCTATATCAAATGTCTTGCAAGAACAAGTTTTCATTTTCAAATCTACCAAAAAGCTTACCGACATCCCATCAATGACGTTGTATTCTTGTCTATAACTGTTAAGCTCAACAACTTTTAACTTCGCAGCAACTGGACATCGAGCATGCAAGATGTTCTCCACAAAAGGCACAACCTGTGATGTGCTCGATGCATTACCTGAATCTTGCCTATGGTTGTTAAACCATTCAGAGAACTTCTCAACCATGGCATCAATCATAGGTAAGAGGTGATACTTCCTTGCTTTCCTAAACACAGCGTTCATTGACTCCGCAGCATTGCTAGTGTCTATGTTGTACTTTTCTCCTTGGAAATGGCACCTAGACCACTGCTCTCTCCCTATGGCTTTATCTAGATAGTCAGCAGCATTAGACCACCGACTCCTAAAAATACCATATTCTCTATTGAACTCACTCTCAGTATAAGCATGAGCGCACTCCAAGAACTTCTTTGCAGCTCCATCCTTATCAGTCTTCGCACGGAGTCTTAGATTTTGAGACAAATGCGATATACAGTTTACATGATGCGTATTCGGGTACACCGTCATGACAGCCTTCTTGATGCTTTGATGCCTGTCACTAACAAACACCAAATCAGGAACTTCTGGATATACAGTTTTCAGCTTCTGGAAAAACCAAATCCAACTAACATCCTTCTCCGCATCAATTACACCAAATGCAAGAGGGTAATGGTGATGATTAGGATCTTGAGCTGTTGCAATAACCAACATCCCACCATATACAGTTTTGAGATGAGTTGCATCCACAATTATCACTTTTCTCATTGCCCTGAAACCTTCAATGCTAGCTCCCAAAGCGATGAATAGGTACTTGAACTTCTTCTCTTCCAACTCCACACTTGTTACAATCCCTATATTTACCTTCTCTAACATGTAGAGATAAGAAAACATGTTGCATTTTTTCTGGTCCACCACTCACTTCACTAACATGCTGCATTTTCCCTCTTAATGCAGTGGAGTATGAACAATGCACACCAAGTCTTCCTGTCACAATAGACATGATGCTTTTTGGATCTGGGGTCTGTAGATTACCTGGAAAGTTAGCATGCAAAACAGCTGCTATTAATCGTGGTGTTTGAAAGACCCCGATCCGGACTGCCTAAGTCCGGAGAGGTTCTCTCCGACCAAATCATTAAGTGATCCGATCCTTAGTCAAATTTTAGGGCCATTTTCTTAAGACAATCCGATTTACGATATTCTGAGATTCATTACTTAGAGTCAATATGCGATAATAGAGTAAACAAAGAATCGGATACTTTATTAGATACTTAAAAGGATTCGATACAACTTAAGAGTTTGCATATAAGCTATTACAAGTCATATAATCGATCCTATTCTACCCGATTCATCACCACCCATCTTCCCGGCCTTGAGTCTCTCACGCCTAAGCCAAGTCCTTCCCACGATCACCATCCTTTCCTGAAAGTCAAAGAGGCATAAGTATCCGTTTTACTTATTATATGCAAGTCCATGCAATGCTCTCTAGGCCTTTTAACCACCCGGAACGAAGAACAGATCGGAGAGTGGAAGTATGCGCATCAGTTCGGCCAATTCACGGTAGATCTTCACAGATCCGCCGATCCTCCGCCGAGCCGCATCCCCATTTCAACCGATCCGCCATTCGAACCAAGTTTATGCATGATATGAATGATTCCCCGATACTACAATATCACCCTAATCGTTCCGGACTTCTTCTAAGTCATCGGAACAATCCCTAGGCTAGATCGTACGTATCAAATCTCCTTAGGTTCGGACACAAAGTCTAGAACCGTCTCACCTTCGATCGCACCGATCGTAACTCTCTCTTAAGTGTTTTCTCTCAAGATGTTCTCCGAGAGTTTCTGTATTTTTCCCTAAGTTTTTCCGTGTCTGAAATCGTCCCAAACGCCTTGTATTTATAGAGTTTCGTTCAGAAACCGTTTCTCTAACTGTTCTCTAGAAGGCGCCCATTCGGTCCATAACCGCCCGTTGGTAACCGTCATCCGTAACCGCCCAACCGCTCTTCTGTAACCGCCCAACCGTCCTTCCGTAACCGCCTAACCGTCCAACCGTCGGACAGTTACCCAAGCTTAGCTGAGCTACCCGGCAGCTGGTCGAGCTAGCTGAGCTACTCGACAGTTACCCAAGCTTAGCTAAGCTACCCGGAAGTACTTCGAGCTTAGTTGAGCTATACGGGAGCTGGTTTGGCTACTTAACGTTCATTATTCTCCTTATCCGAGCTGATGGGCAGCTCCAATCTAGACTTGTCCGAGTTTCTCCTCCTTTTCTCG